CTGAGTACTTACTCTACCTGGGCACAGAGTGGATTACATATAAATCTCTTAACAGTCCCATTAGGTAGATACTTGTGTTATCCCCTGTTCCTCAATGAGATACCTATATCGGTGATCTATTGTGATTAACAAACTACCCCCAAAATCAGTGGCTTCAAATACTGACCCTGAATGGAACTCAGGATTCTGTGGATAGTGATGTGGGGGAGGGGCTTCACTGGCTGGTTGTTAGTCTTGATGAATTTCTCATTCTCCAGCCTGCTAGTCCAAGCTTATCCATGTGGTCATCTCAAGTTCTAAAAGCTCCAGAATGGAACCTGCAAGACCACTTGAGGCCCAGACTTGGAACTAGCACAGCCATCTTATTTGTGGTGCAATCTGTTGGTCAAGAAAGTCACCAGGTCTCCCAGGTGTCCGGGTTGGGGACCTTGCTTCCCAGAATGACTTTCACTGTGACTACCTTTGCAATTCTACTACTGTTTTTGAGTTGGAGAGAGACGTTCTGACGTCAAATATCACACAGTTAGTAACTGACCTCTCACACACCGCTGGTAGGAATTGTACAGACACCTGGGGAAACAGTTTGGCATTTTTTGAGTTGTCTGTCCCCTTATTATTACATTTGAAGAGTTCTTTATATATTCTGGATGTAAGTCTTTCATCTGACGTATGCATTGGGCAGATTTTCTCCCAGTTCTTGGCTCGCATTTTCATTTTCTTGGTGGCGTTTTGTTTTAAAGACAAACGTTTCCGTTTTAGTGAAGCCCAATTTACTAATTATTTGCTTTCCTGTCTTGTGCCTTTGGTGTTTTGTCTGAGACTGAATGAGCGGAGGAGCAGTGGTTGGGAAGAGTCAAGGGCAGTCCCGGGGGTCTACGGGTATGGCCTGAAGTGGCGCCAGTGTTTTGTGTACAAATGAGTTTTGCATTCTATTTAATGACCTTACTTGCCTTAACATAAAATGCAGTTCTTTACGTATGAGCAAGTTTATCTGATGCTCCAAGGTAAAAGCCCACATTTAGCCCATGGCACAGGACTGTCTATGTTCAGGACATAGGAACTCTAGGTTGAGAATCATAGCACTGAATGGCCACTTGCCTCAGAAACTAACATTATTATCCATAATGAGTTTCAATATAAATAAAAGTAACAAGGCTACAGTTAAAGGGGGAATTGCCTTAATCTTTTCTGACCATCAACTATATTAACTTTCTATGTAGATTCCACTATTCAATTGCTTAAATATGTCTACGCTACTAATAAACCTTCCAGAATGAATAGCAGATGAACAACTGAATATAAATGAAAACAGATGCCTCAGTGAAGAGGATCCAGAATTGTCATCAACTCTTCACGATCACTACATGTTTTCTTTAACAAGCTCACATGCCCACAGCACATTGCCAAAGTTTATTGACTTCTTCCAAAATTTCTGTATGAAATTATGATTATGATCTCATGGAGTTCAGGATTACTGAGTAAAGAGCACGCCTCCCCAGGATGTTTTTTCAAAGGAGCGGGTACCCCCAGGAGTGCTGGGGGAAGGAGCACACATGCGTTTGAGGACACGATGAGCCTAACCCCTGCCGGACGCTCTCAGAATCTTCCAAAGTTTGAGTCCTTCCACATCTGAGGATCTGGAGTCTCGCCACAATCCAAAGACACAAGGCAGGCAGAAAAGGATACCACTGACCCTGTATTTGGTATCCACATTCTTGTGCCTTTAAGATATATACTTTTTCAATTGACCTATTGAAATATCAGTATTCCTATGAATACATGCACATACTTTTACAATAAAGGTATTCATGATATATGAGGGAAGATGGGTTCTCCTACAGTATAAAACATAAAATAACATAAAGCAATGGTTTCTGCTCTAGGGGTATGTGCTTTCAATTTAAAGCCTGTTTAAAGGCATGTACAGAATATGTTTAAGAAGTGATAATATGGTGTTGGTAGCACAACAATGTGAATGAGCCTAATGCCACTGAACTGTACTAAAAATGGTTGATATCCTATGTTTTGCATTGTTTGAATTTTACCACAATTAAACGTTCTAAATAAAAAAAAAGTGATAGTAGGTTAGATGGTAAATAACTGAATGTGGAAGCTAGGGCTATGTTTTTATTCTGATTGGAAAAACCCTAGGAGACAGAATTCATTTCGTCCCTTTTTTTCCGCACACACACCAGAGTGATTTAACTACTTACTTCATCTCATGGGTCTATGGCCCTGATTCCATCTGTCTCTTTTTTTCTGACTCCTTTTCTGACAAAAACTGTTGACTTTCAAAGACAGCTTAAGAGCGGGGAGATATGTGGAGACACACATGCACAGAGCCGCCAGGACACGCACAGATGGTGGGTGTGAGGGGGGTGCTGATGGTGGAGGAGGGTGGGGTGGTGAGGAGCACCAGTTCATTATCATTATTACAATCATGCATAGATGCTGATCTGTGCTAAAATATATGCTTATTACAATGGCTCAAATTGTGGCTCATTTTGATAAGAAAATATCAACCTCAAAATCTAATTTCAGACAACAGTTCACCAAGGAGCATCGTAACAATCATCTGTGCTTCCTATGTACTTATTTTTCGGTCTGACTGCACTAGTTACATTAAACACTCGCTAGCACTCTGTGTAATGTAGCACACCATGTGACCGGAGCAAAGGTAAGTTTCAGGGGCTTAGTGCCAAAAGTGTTTGAAAACACCTACTGTTCATTTGTTCCTTTGCAATGATCTCTGGCTTCAGGGCACTTATGCCACTTGGTCCTGGAACCAAAAAGCTTACTAGGTCTGCACATTTATTCCAGTTTATGTATCATGTAGGACTATGTTGTCATGGCACAGAATCTTAAAGCACGGGCTTCTTTGAAAAATCACCCCTGAAGTTAGAAGCAGTTCTTGAATTACTTAGATTTGGAACTGTTCTTAATTGTGAAGGAATGTTCAGCATTAACATAAATGGCTAGATTTTTTTAAGATTAAAATTTACTTCATTTTTTCTTAGTTTAAAGTGTAATAAATATTTCTGCCTCCCAAAGACAGCCTCTTTTAATACATGTTGTCTTCTAGGCTTTTTTATTCATTTTGACATAACTATAACCATACATTTTAAATTTAAAATCAAACACAAGTTTACCAAAATGTCGTGCATGTAATTTAAAAATCCAAGCAACTGTAACATTATTACTTTAGTTAAGGCCATAATACTGCACAGGGAAGCTTGCTGTTATGAAAGTATTCTTGTGAACACCTTAGTACCTGACATTTTCACCAATTTCAGATTGTTTCTTTTACTTAGAGTATCAGCCAGGGTTCAGCTAGGGAAGCAGAACTAGTAGGAGATACATAGTTAAGACATTCATGGCAAGGAACCGGCTCGCCTGGTTCCGGAGGCCAGCTAGGCAAGGCTGCCATCTGTTGGGAAGACTGCCAGGCAGAGCAATCTGGAGCTCTCGGCGATGGGCTGACAGGGCCGATCCGTTCTGCAAACGGAATTCCTCCCGGGAAGGCTCAGCTGCCTTTCAGTCCTTTTAACTGATTGAATAAGGCCCACAGAGATTACCTAGAATAATCTCTCTTACTCACAGTCAATTGATTGCGGACTTTAATCACATCTGAAAAATGCCTTCACAGCAACACCTCGGGAAGTGTTTGTGAAGAACTGGGAGCTGCGGCTTAGCCAGGCTGACACATCAAAAGATCCTCAGGGTTACATGTTCAGAAGTAGACTTACTGAGTCAAAGAGAATAAAAAACTTTAAGAATCCTATACATAGATTCCAATTCCTTTTCCTACAGGTCACAGCAGTCTTCCGTGCTTTCCCAGTTTATCCTGGCCTTTCTTTGGGTTAGGCGCCAGACTGCCTACCCTACCAGACTCTGTGTCAACAATAGTTCAGAGTGCCCCTAAAATAAGCAAGTACTGTACTAGTGACTCAAGGTAAGCACATGTCCCAGAAGTAAGCTTTTAAGGGCCTTGCTGTCCCAGGAAGCTTGGTCTGCCTTCTCCAATCCAACATCTAGCCCCCACTGTATGAGCCTCAGCGAGTAACTGCCCAGATCTATTTATAAGTGGGGGTATTAATTTCTATTTACTATTTACTCTTTATAGGAAATGTGTTAGACATTTGGCAGGGGTGAGATAGAGGTATTAACTCTGTCCTCAAAAAGTCTAAAGTTAATGCAGTAATTTTAAAGTAAATATTTGATGTTATATTCGTGTTAAAGTTCATGTGTATCTATTTCTCCAGCAAGCAAGGCTAAATCATGTCTTTAAAATCCTCATAACTACATAAATGGCAGACCTTTGTGAAATTCCTTGTTGTTCCAGTAGATCCGGGTGGAAGTCCCACCTTATTACACCTTAAGAAACTTGATCGTTAGGCAGAGGTTACTGGAGTGATTAATTTGGATGGATTTGGTGACAGGATTTTTTGTCATTGTTGAATTCTTTTGTGTGTTTTTCTTTTCTTTTATTTTTAAAGATTTTATTCTTTAGAGAGAAGGGAAGGGAGGGGGAAAGAGAGGGAGAGAAATACCATGTGCCAGACAAACATCTATGGGTTGCCTCTCCCAAGCCCCCAAGCCCCCAGCAGGGACCTGGCTGCAACCCAACATGCAAGGTTCTGGGTGAGGCCCAACCCACTGAACTGTACCAGTCAGGGCTGTATTTCTTTCTCCAGTTGCATTCTTAGTTCTACTTATGTACTAGTTCTTGAAACCTGAACACATAACTTAATCTCCCTAAGCCGCCTTCTTCTCACTTATAAAATGGAGATCAAACTCTCTTGTGTGAAGATTAAATGAGCCAACACATGTAAGAACTAAGGTTTACAGTTGACACGTGATGTGTATGTACGAGTATTTGTCTGAGTATTTCCCCCTCCATTTTTTTTTTTTTTTTTTGCTTTCTTTCTGTCCCCCGGTCATTACCGCAACTTTGAAATAATTTGGGGGCAGGGCAGGATAGGAACAAGCTACAGAAATTCTTTGACAAGTGTAATAAGGGAAACTGAGGCAGAATAATTAACCAAGGCCAAACAACTTGAGCAATTTAGAATCAGTTAATGAATCACAAAGTTCTCCCCCTTTCCTCCAACCCTCCCAACAGAGCCGCTTAGGTCTCGGTTTCTCTTCAATGACGTTCTTGCTGACGTTCTTTAAAAATGAAACTAATCTCTTGATAACATTCTTGAGAAATGAAACTAACCAGCCTTCACCCAGGGCGGTGAGTGCTTAGAGTGCGGAGTGTGTGCTCCGGGCTAGGAACACGCGTTTATTATTTCAAAATACGCCCCCCAAACCTTAAAATATCTTTTAACACCTCTCGCAAATTACAAGACATCCGCGTCTCCCCCGCCGGAGACTTATATTTTTTTCTTCCTTTTTATAAAATAACCCGGTGAAGCAGCCGAGACCGACCCAACCGCGGCCCTCGCAGCAGCTGCCAAAAGGAAGCGACCGAGCGACCGAGCGACCGAGCGACCGAGCGACCGAGCGACCGAGCGACCGAGCGACCGAGGCCTCATCGCTGCGCAGACGGACACCGGCACCCTCGCTCCCCAGCCAGACACCGAGGCCGTCTCACTCCCGGGCACCCTCGCTCCCAGCGGTAGCCCACAGCCAGCGACTAGCGGCGGCGGATCGACCCAGCTCTGCGGCTGTGGAGTAAGTAGCTTTCTCTCCCGGTTGATTAGTGTCCCGCTTGCCCCAGTTCCCCCAGCCGACTCTGCTCCTTTCCTCCCCCACCCCTCTGCCCCTCCTCCCACCCTCCCTTCCCCTTCTCCCCAGCCCCCTCTTTCCTTTCCCCACTTTGAGGCCCTGGCCCCGGTCCCCACACTAGCTCTCCTCTAGGGAAAGGTCATGGCCTGCGGCCCTGCAGGCAGCCTGGCTGAGATGAATCCCAGCGCCCCCAGCCGCTCATCTCCCACGCTCTACGTGGGGAACCTACACCCTGACGTGACAGAGGTGATGCTCTACGAGAAGTTCAGCCCCGTGGGACCCATCCTAGCCGTCCGAATCTGTAGGGACAGGGTAACCCGTCGCTCCTTGGGCTACGCTTACGTGTGCTTCCAGCAGCCAGCGGACGCGGAGCGCGCTTTGGAGACCATGAATTTTGATATTGTGAAGGGCAAACCACTTCGCATCATGTTGTGCCGGCAAGATCCACCGCTTGACAAAAGTGGAGTCGGCAACATATTCATTAAAAATTTGGACAAATCCATTAAAAAAAAAGCACTGTATGATACATTTTTTGCGTTTGGTAACATCCTTTCCTGTAAGGTGGTTTGTGACGAAAATCGTTCCAAGTGTTACGGATTTGTACATTTTGAGACAGAGGAAGCAGCTGAACGATCTATGGAAAAGATGAATGGGATGCTTCTAAATGATCACAAAATATTTGTTGGACGATTCAAGGCTCCTAAAGAAGGAGAAGCAGACCTTGAAGCTAATGCAAAGGAGTTCACCGACGTTTGCATCAAGAATTTTGGAGAAGACATGGATGATGAGCAACTTAAAGATCTCTTTGGAAAGTTTGGACCTGTCTTGAATGTGAAAGTAATGGCGGATGAAAGTGGAAAATCCAAGGGTTTTGGATTTGTGAGCTTCAGAAGACATGAAGATGCACGGAAAGCTGTGGATGAGATGAATGGAAAGGAACTCAATGGAAAACCAATTTATGTTGGCCAAGCTCAGAAGAAAGTGGAACGGCAGGCAGAACTTAAGCGCCAATTCGAACAGAAGAGGCAAGATAAGATCACCAGATGCCAGGCTGTTAACCTTTATGTGGCAAATCTTGATGATCATATTGATGATGAACTTCTCCGGAAAGAGTTCTCTCCATTTGGTACTATCACTAGTGCCAAGGTTATGATGAAGGGTGGTCGCAGCAAAGGGTTTGGTTTTGTATGTTTCTCCTCAGCAAAGGAAGCCAGTAAAGCAGCTACAGAAATGAATGGAAGAATTGTGGCTACCAAGCCATGGTCTGTAGCTTTAGCTCGGTGCAAAGAAAAGTGCCAGGCTCACCTCACTAAGAAGTGTGTGCAGAGACTGACCAGTGCGACAGCTATGCTCACCCCCCAAATCAACCCCTACCAGCTGGCAGCTGACCCACTGACTCAGAACCCTGCTCCATACTACCCTCCTAGCCAAACCGCTCAGCGAAGACCGAGTCCTCGCTGGACTGCTCAGGGTGCCAGACCTCGTCCATTTCCAAACATGCCCAGTGCTCTCCGCCCAGCTGCTCCTAGACCACCACTTAGTACTATGAGACAAGCTTCTTCACAGGTTCCACGAGTCATGTTCACACAGTGTACTGCTAATACAGCAACAAAGACAGTGGGTTCACATCCTGCAGCTGCTGCTACTTCTCCTGTCTGCATTGTTCCACAGTATAAATATGCCACAGGAGTTCGCAATCCTCAACCTCTTAATGCACAGCTACGAGTTACCATGCTGCAGCTTGCTGTTCACAAACAAGGTCTGGAGACTCTGACTTCCACGTTGCCATCTGCCTCTCCTCAAGAGCAAAAGCAAATGTTAGGTGAGCGGCTCTTTTCTTTAATTCAAGCCGTGCAGCCTACCCTTGCTGGTAAAATCACTGGCATGTTGTTGGAAATCAATAATTCAGAACTTCTTCGTATGCTTGAGTCTCCAGAGTTTCTCCTCTCTAAAGTTGATGAAGCTGTAGCTGTACTACAAGCCCACAAACTACAAGCCCCATTAAGAGGCTGTCCAGGAAGGAGTTAACAGTGCCACTGGTGTACCATCTCCAGGGCCCCTTTTTTTCTGACTTCCCAATGGGCTCGCTTCTTTCACAGTGACTTCTATTTCTTGGAGAGCCAAAGCAGCCCCACCTAGGCTGTCTCATGTTCCTTCTTCTGCCTTAAGCCCTTCCTTTGTTTCACTGGCCTCGTCTTTAATAAACATACTGTCAAAATCACCTGGACTCGTGTTGTGCAGTCTTTCCTGCATGAACTCAAGAACCCACACGCTACTGGAAGGACCAAAGCAGACTCGTTCTGGGTCCAGACCCCGTTCGGTAGCAGGGACAGGACAGAAAGTGGAACTGGCTTGAAATTATTCTTTTATTTCTTCAGAGCCTCAAACCTATGGAGGCTTTAGGTTTCTAAGTAAGGAGGAATGGGAGGTGTGTACTTCGAAGACAGAGATAGAGTGCCTGAGAAAAACACAAAGGGACAAATGCTCCTCCCGAGTGCACAGAGGATCTCAAAAGCTGAGGGAAAAGAGGGGGCTGGTGCATCCTGAGAACAGAGGTGTTTACCTGCTTAGTGGCAGGGCCTGAAAAGCTGGGACTCCCAAGAGGGCAGTTACCACAGCGCATCCAGCAGGAGCACCTTAGAAAGTGTCACAGTAGATTCCCAAGAAGGTGTAGAAGCCCCCAAAATCTGCCAAAGGTGAAGGAGCCATCCAGAGCCCTATGGGGTTCAGGGATGGATAGCTGTGGTAAATGCAGGGGTGGATGCAGTTGTCCGGAAGCCCGTGATATCACTTTGTGTGACTCAGAACCAAAGCAGGAGCTCTGGGTGGGGCAGGGACAGACTTTCACAACACTGATAAGCTTCAGCATAGCCCAATGGTGGGGGGGGGCTTGGAAATTGAAGTTAGATTGATTTAAAAAAATGAAGTGAAGTACAACCTAACTAGTAAACAAAGATTCGCACCCCAGACACACTCAAAACATGCCTTTAATATGAAGATTTAGCTATTTTGATATGGAAAAGAGTAGAAAAAGACACATTCTCTGGCTGGTATTTCTTAATACTTCCTTTATCAGTTAGTGATACCCAATTTCAAGAATTTTGCATCTTTCCTTTCCGCTGGTATTTGCCTCCAAACATGGTAAAAATCCTTCTTAACCTCCAACAACAACCACCAATTTCTCTTGACCCAACCATTTATCAAGTTCCTATATCCTTCCTTTCTTTATTATCACATTTGTGTTTTTGTTTACTCATTTCTTTTTTTTGTTTCCCTCCTTAAAATTGTCTTAATTAAATGTATTGGGGAGACATTGGTTCACATTTCTTCTTTTTCTTTTTAAAGATTTTATTTATTTACTTTTAGAGAGAGTGGAAGGGAGGGAGAAAGAGGGAAACGTTGATGTACGAGAGAAATATCCATCAGTTGCCTCACACACGCCCCCAACTTGGGGGACCTGGCCCACAACCCAGGCATGTGCCCTGACTAGGAATCCAACTGGCGACCCTTTGGTTCACAGCCCACACTCAGTCCACTGAGCCACAGCAACCAGGGCTGGTTCACGATTATTAAGAGTGTGGTCACACTTGATGTGCCCACTTTCTTAACTCCCATGCACTGCCCAACTGATTACAGTTTGGCTTTTTTTCTCTTCAGTGAGGAAGTAGTAAAAGTATGCCAAATCCCAACTTTTTTTGTCCTGCAACTTCTATAACCCCTGACTATCATTTAACCCTGTGTGTCAGCCCTTTGCCAAAAACACTTGCTGCCTGTAAGGCCATCTGGTGACTAGCACTGCACCGAGCCATCCCTCGTTCTCCCACTTTCTACTCCATTAGGAAGCTCTCATTTCTACCACAATTAGAATACTCAATAACCCCTAATTGATTTTCTTGTTGGTACTCGATTCCTCTACTCTAGTGATATCTCACACTGTAAACTGAAGCCAATGATATGCACATCTCTCCCACAAATTTCTCTGTTGTCTCCCATACTGCCTCTGCACTCTCTCAGGATGAAATGGGAACATCTTATATCAGAGTGTCTCACAGGGGGATCCCTGCATCAGCAGAATTAAAACTTCAGCACTCCTGGGAACTTGTTACCAAAGCGGAGTCTTGGGGCCCCAGGGAGACCTACTGAAAGCAACACTGTGTGGCCAGGTGATCTTGATTGCCCCGAGCCCTCCGGGTGATTCCGATTCCTGTTAAACTGGATCGACCACTTCCTCACTGGCTGGAAGACTCTTTTTGTTCTGGCCGCTACCAGACTTTGCAGCCTCTCCTGTGTTTGAGTCCCTCATGAGTCTGATGCTCTTTCCTCCTGGAGCCTCTCCTACAAAGGCACTGTTCTTTCCCAGGGTGTGGAATACCCCATTTGCGTTTTTCCTTTCTTTTTTGGCAAATTGATGTTATTTCTTCAATACCCACCTCAAGTGCTTTGAGAACTCTAAGCTCCCTTGAGGAACACTCCTGCCCCGCCCTCCACAGCACTTTGTTCACAGCGCGGTGACAGCATTTACCGTGTTAAGCTTTCATTGGCTTCTCCATACAATGTTTTCCTCTGAAGACTGTGAATTGCCTAAGCACAGTGGACTGTGCTTTGTTCTTCTGTGTCCCCCTAGTGGCCTAGTTGACTGTCGCTCTCTCTTTTTCCTTTTGTTCTCTCTTTACACACAGGATTTAAGGCAGTTGAAAAATGTTTATGAAATGAAATATTTCTATTCAGCACCGTAATGGCAATCAAAAAGCTTGGCAACTATGATAACCTTGTAAAGGTCTTAATCACATAGCACAGTAATCAGTTTCTCATTGCTCTTTGGTCCATCTGCACCCATAAAACGACAGATTATTTGAGAAGCAGGTTGATTCCTCTCATGCTCTTACCATATGGTTTTCTATTCTTACCTAATCTACATGCCTCACTAGGCCCCTTTAGTGCAACTTCTCATGTGACCCCAAGATTCTGACAATAAATATTATTTCCCAGGTGATTTTTATCTACTGTTCAAAAATCCTTTTTTTTTATTTAAAAAAAAGAGCAGATAGTTCAATGTGTGCGCGCGCCCTCTCTCTCTTTCTCTCTGGAAAAAAAAATCTGATTTCTATCCTCAGGGGAAGGCACATTGTGTGGGGGAAGGGAAGGAAACTCCGTCGTTACCACGGCAGGGTTTGGACTCTGTTTTATGGCCTCTTTTACTAAAGGATAACCCTCGCCCTTTTCTTGGATTTGATTTCATCATGATGGTTGTTTAGAAGGAGGAGGAGAGGGAGGGGGAGGAGGAAGAGGGGGTGGAGGAAGTGGAAGAAGAAAAAACTTTACTCTAGAAAGCTTCTCATAATCTTGTTTGCAAGAAATGTCAGGGTCATCTGAATGGCTAAGGTGTTGTTAGGTGGCCTGCAGAATAATTGAGAAAGTACGGTTTCTCCTGTCAAGGATCTTACTATGTTAATAACCACAATCTCCCTATGAGGGAGACTTATTGGCAAGTGTTCACTGATAAGAAGCCTGGATTTAATTTACTCATGTGAAAATATGTGTATGTGTATATGTGTATATATATATGTATATATATATATATATATATATACACATACAGACATATATATTAGTTTACCCAAGATGACAGCTGCTGTTTGCTACTTGTAGATAAGCTGGGGGTAGTTTTGTTATTACTAATGACTCACTACAAGTGTCTTCACTTTCCTATACCTTAGGGTTAAACTATTTAGTAAATAACTTCACCAAAGCACCAAGTTTAACTCAATCATTTAAAAACTTAATACAGTTTCAACTGTATTAAGTTGGTAATTGTACTTTCACAGACAGAATCATGTGCTTTTTTTCAGAGAAATGAAATTAAAGTCAAAATAGATTAATTACCAATAAAGCAGGTTGAAAACTTTTTGATTAATATCTAACAAAAAATCAACTAATAATTTTAATTGGACTTTTTATCTTATTACCAAGTATTCGGTATTCCTTGATTACTTCCACAGATTTATTTTATACGATGCGTAAAAACCACATTGGCAAAGCCAGAAGGAGAGCAACTTCTTAAATGTAATTTTCATTGTCATTGGAAGTGACAGATTTTTGACAAAACTCAGTATTCACTCTGAACTATTATAGCAGTTTATTTTCCAATAGCATGTAATTCCAACTCGACACAATGGTTAATGTGGGGATTTAGTTCATGAGCTAACTCTCGAAAACCCTTAACTGCTCAATTTACTTCATGTGGGGGAAACTTAAGGTCAACCTGTAGCAGTTTCTTATAGAAAAGAAACAGAATTGTTGCAATACTTTGAACTCTAGATAAGTGAAAGAGGAAAAGTTGATGTGTTTCTGACATTCCATTTCAAGATAATAACAACAGATCTATTCTTAAAGAAATACATAAAACTAAAGCCGTTTGAGCCATAGCATCTAGGAAGAGGCTACATTTGGAGACCAGTTGCTTGAGGTGCTGATGTGTTGTCCATATGCCCCAATTTGCTGTAATGGGCCACTGAGGTCATATAATACACTTATCTCCCTGCAGGCTTTGAAGAGCCGTCTTGTCCTCTGTGTCAAGGGCAGACAGAACCCCATCCTGCAACAGGACTCTTCACTTGAACTCCTTAGCCTCTCCCAATGACCAGAAGTTGTTAGCCAGCTATCATAAATTTGTCTTCTCTGAATATTTGCTCCAAATGTTTGCCTCTTTGGTTGGTATATCTATTATTATTCTAAAGCCAGAGAATTATCAGCTTCATTCTGTACCTGTAAAATGATCTGTGTAGAAAGGAAAGCGTGTAGCAGTTTGGCCCCTGTTGGAGATGCCCTGGGAAAGAGAATTTAGCCTTATATCAGATTGTCTTTTCCAGCATTGAAAAGAGTTAATTAAACCCCATGATACACAGAAATCAATAGCAGGATCTTGCTCTCCTTGGTTACTTCCCAGTTGTCCTCGCAGAAGGGTGCATTCCCTGAACTCCTGGGGGAGTGATGGCGGAGCCTCTCAGAAAGGCAGTGATATTTGCAGGGTGCATCTGCCCCTGGCGATGTGAGATGTGTGTGAATGGTTTCCTCAACAGCCTTGCTGTTTTCACCGCTCGTGCTGCAGCCTTTGTAACTGAGTCCAGAAAAATAGGTGAAGAATGAGAGAGTTCCTTTTGTTCTTGTTTGCTAGAAATGCCACGGCACATCTGAATGGCCGAGGAGCTGAGTGTCCAGGGG